ATTTAATTAAATTTAATTTACACAATTTAAAATTATTTTTAAAAACTCAAGAGAATCTCGAGAGTTTTAAACAAAACCCTTCAGAATATTAGAAGAGTTTATTTTGAAGTATCGAAGACAACTATGAATTGTAATTTAAATACCACTGACGTATTAGATGCACTTATACATCACCTGGTGAAGTCTGAACATTCTGCATTGTTACCACACATCTACACAGGGTTTCCACCGTTGTTTAAAGCCGCTCTCCCCTCCATCTCACTAATAATTCCTCTGCTAATGTGACGTTCACTTAGCTATCCCAAACCACCAAGGCACAGTAGAAGATACATGGACATAGCTTCTGGTGCTTGGGGCTTCCTGCAGGAAGACAAGTTTAGGCAAGCTGTGGAAGGGGACGATGATTTCGGGTACTTACTGCTAAGGAATAGTTTCAGTGTCAACCAAAGATTCCCAGATCTTGCTGCAAAGTGCACTGTTCCGATCCTTTCCCAGGGAACTGTAAAAGAAAGGATCTACCTATTATGGGCATATAGGCATAATTTTGGAGGAGTATTCAGGATACTTGGGTGTGAGGTGCTATCACTGTGGTATACATAAACAGAAATAGGACTAAGAATAAATAAGAAGTACTTCTTATGGCCTTAAAAATATTTTAAGAGAAAATTCTAATGAAATTCTAATAAAACTACATAAAGGTTTTACATAATTCTAGCACTTCATTCTTCTACTTTTCCTCTGTTTAACTGAAAACTAGGTTTTTACTTTATTGTTTTGGTAAAGGTTCTTTAACAATTCTGTTTCTCATTCTTGACAGCATACAGTGAAGATAATTCTTGCAGAAAATCCACCTTTTCGCCATCAGACCAACACCTTGTGTACTCCGATGACAACCCTGAAATATGCAGATCCAAATGGAGATCTACCCATTGATATATTCTACAAAATGGTTTTTCATCATGACAAAAATCTTCAATGCGAGTCTTAATTTTATCAAATTGCTAAGGTGGAGAAGTAGAAAGAGCTTTGACCTGGGAAAACCCTCACAGTAAGTATGAGATGATGTAGTGCAAATTGGAATTACTTGTTGTAGCTACTGATAACGCAGTGTGTTGTTATTCAAACGCCTTTGCTCTGTAATTGTGAAAAGGCATTCAAGATGTTTATTTGAGCTTAGCAAAGATATTCAGCTCAATGCGTTTATCTTCAGCTTTACAGTTTACAGTTTAAATTAAAATCCTCTAACTATAGGTTTATTCTGTTTAGTGTTTGCTTTTTACAGATATCTGTTTTCATGGGAACATGAACATTGACTGGTACTTGCATATTCAAATTAACCCGATCCCCTTCACTTATTAGAATATAATACATACTGAGATGTGCACTGTATGTAAATAATTTAGATTCTTAATATGATAAAAATATTTTATCTTTTTACTTATTAGAATATAATAGAATTAGTATAGTAATCCCTCAATCACAAGAGTATTCTCATTTTCAGAAATCAGGTCTATTTACCAGTAACATAAGAGAAAGTCTTATCAATCTTAAAATGTTAAATCTTAGAATATTTATTATTCGTGTATACATAATATTCTGAATGCTTCCTTTATACGCGGTGGTTACTGGCATATTACACATAGTGGACAATAAAACGTTTTTTAAAACCATCTCAAAATAAAATATCTTCTTACTGTCTGGGTACTATTTTTTGCAAAAATAACAAAATATTATTATAGAATAGTTTGGGTTGGACAGGACCTCTAAAGGTCATCTAGTCTAACCCCCCTGC